AGATTCCAATGTAGCTTAGGTTGGTCATAGTCAGGGGGGTCCCGAGGCTGGGTGACACCCCACGGGACGTCATCGGCATGCACATGACGTCATCTTATTGACGCCTGCCGGCGGCCAGCTTGGTGATGGACACCGGCAGAGGGAGGAGGGGGACGTTCACCCGGCGGAATGAGGTATGCCTCCGGGTCCCTTCCTCTCTCCTGACACTGTCGGGCTCTCGGTCCGTGACTGAGTGCCCGACTTTTCATATGGGGTGACACCAAAATGACTGTCAGTCATTTTGGCGTCTTCTCTCCAATGGTGGCACCTGGGTGCGGGCCGCACCACCCCCCCCCCCTTGTGAAGCCACTGATCATAGTCTGGCCTATATTATGTTGGTCTCTAAAACAAAAATCTTCTTAAATCAGCTTTTACATATGTTGTACTGCATTGCAGGAACAAACTGGACTATACAGATTCTATATAAAATGCTATTTGAAATAAACAACAAAGAGACAACATTGGATAAAGGTATGCTGGAGTTTGGAATTGCCAGAGAAATTTGAGGCTGGTGCAAAAACCTATCATACCTTTAAATATTGGATAAGGTTTATACATAATCTGTAATTCGTTTTTTTTTTCACTTTCTAGATGTGTTAAAGGTAGCACATAATGACATAAAGTAAAGTAAAAATCCATTTAAACTTTTATTTTCAATTAGCTAAATACATTCCAGGTGAATCAACATGAAAGGTGCCCATACACCTGCCGATTATCGTACGATAATCGCGGGTGATCCCGCGATCCTACGATAATCGGCAGGTGTATGGAAGGCGTGCAACAGTTTCTACTGTACGGCCGCACGTCTTTTGTCTTCCGAGCAAGGTTGAAAACCTGCCGAAAATCATATGATTTTCGGCTGGTTAGTGGCGTGCTCGGAAGACAAATGCCGAACGGGCCGGTGTGCGCTAGCATTGGAATCATCGCAAGCCCGCCACTCAGCGGGGAGGGCTTGCGATGATTGCAAGTACGATCTGCCTGTCCAAGATGGGCAGATTGTATGACATTTTCATTACCTTACAACCATCGCACAAAATCAAAATCAGCAACAGCTTGAGTAGAAAATCCTGTTATGCCAGCGTGCTACAAAATGGAACCCTTGCTCTCAGGGGAGAAGCAGTGATCTTTTGCAGAGGTCCAACACACCCACTGCTGTCAGAGCCAAAGCCTTCCAATCAGTGAGCTTTGCTGACTGAAGAACTATAAATCTGACTTAGTAGGGGACATATGAGACCTCTGCAGTGAGACTACTGTTTCTTCACAGAGAACAAGGGTCCCATTCTCCAGCTGCTGACAGAGGACAGGCTTTTCTACTTAGGCTGTGAAAACAAACTGTAAGACCAAGAGATTGTTCACACCATACACAGTGCGTTCCAGTGCGGTTAGCTGCTGGAACACACTGCATCACATCCCGGCCGACGTCCTGCGTACAGGGGCAGGAGGGGGTGTGGCGGTGCATTAAGGCTAACGGCACCGCAGCCAGGCCCCCCACCCACAGTGCGATCACACGCACCAGAACCATCACTGGTCAGGTGCAAGACTTTGCCCAATCAGAGCACAGAGAACTGTAAGAGCCATGATTGGGCAAAGTCATGATGACTCTGCCCAATCATGGCTCACCTGTTACAACTGTAAACAGTTGGGCCGAGCTATCTGTCACTGCTAGCTACGCCTAATTGTTTATAAGTTTCCGGCATCGGTCAAACTGCCATGTTCGTCGCAGAGGACGGGACGGTGGTCCTCTGTTTTTTTTATTATTTCTATTTATTTTTTATTGTTTTATTTTTTATTTCGTCAAGTCGTCGTCATCGTCGTGGACAATGCTGGACTTCATGATTGACCCTGGATTAGTTGATGGATCAATTATTTGGGTTTTTTATTTTAAATAAAGGACTTGTCAAAAATACTTTGTTGTGTTTTTTTTTCAAATAAAGAATTTTTTAAATTAAAGTCTGATGTTTTTATTTAATCTTTTATTTAACCCTTTCGTGAATGGGTAGGAGTACCCCTGACTCATTCACAAGGGTGAGGCGGCATCTGGGTGAAAAGGTACCATGATGTGAATAAGCCCCCTGCCCGCACCCCCACCACCAACGCCCCAGGGCTTGTGGGGAAGACGCCCTTGTCCCCATCGGCACAGGGACAAGGTGCTTTTCCAGGGCGACCCGGAAAAGCACCTTACCAGTGCCGAGGGCATGTGGCCTGGTATCGCAGGGAGGGGGGGCGCTCCCTCGCCCCCCCCCCCTTTCCTGCCCTGACAGGCCTGTGCTCGGATCAAGGTCTGGTATGGAATTCTAGGGGGGACCCAACATTTTTGGGGGTGGGGGTTCCTCCTTAAAATTCCTACCAGACCATAAGGGCCTGGTATGACTTTAAGGGGGAACCCCACACACTTTTTTATTTGTTTTTCTTTACATGGGGTCCCTCCTAAAATACCTACCAGATCTTAAGGGTATGGTATGACTTTTGGTGGGAACCCCATGCATTTTTTTTTTTAAATGGGGTCCCTCCTAACATGCCTACCAGACCTTAAGGGTCCGGTATTGTTTGGGGGGGGACCGCACGCTTTAAAAAAAAAAGTATTTTTTTTTCTTTAGAAATGTCAGTTGCAGCACGTTCTATACATCATACAGATGTGCCAGTTTACAGGCAGTTTAAGGGGACCCCCCCAGCCACGATATTTAAAGGAATTTTTCATTTTTTTTGTTACCCTTTAAGTAATGTTAAAATCACTGCTCCTTTAAAAACTGTATTTTTTTGTCATTGATTCATGTCCCCCAGGGCAGTACCCGAATCCCCATAACCTTTTTATGTCCTTGAACTTGCATATAAGCCCTCAAAAAGGGGACAATTGTTTTTGAAAGTTCTAGTTCCATTGACTTGCTTTGAGTTCAAATTCAAACTTTTTGGATGTTCCAAAGTTCGAATTTGAACCGAACTTGGGCCTGTTCGGCCCATCACTAATTGCATGCTAATAATAAGTCAGTCAACTAGGACCCCCAAATATTTTTCCACCTCCAATTTTCCCAGAGGAGCTCCCCCTACTGAGTAGCTTGCATGCTTATGTTTAACATAACCTTACATTTTTCAATATTAACCTAATCTGCCATGTAGTTGCCCACCCCTCCATAATGTCAAGATCTTCCTGTATTGCTGCTATGTCTTGTGTCAAGTTTATTACCCTACAAATTTTGGTATCATCAGCAAACACTGAAACGGGGCTACTAATACCAAACTCAATATAATTAATAAGCAGATTAAACAGCATTGTCCCTAAGAACCAAGGGGCATGTCACTTCCAGCCCTAGACCAGAAAGAAACAGAAGGTTAGCCATTTATTTATACTCTCTCGGCAGGTTCCTGAAGCCAGTTCTCTATCCATGTACACACCATTTCATCAATGCCCATAGATCATAGTTTGTATGTTAAGCATTTATGCAGTACTTTTTCGAATGCTTTAGCAAAATCTAGATACACATTATGTTTATTGGTCTCCCTCCTACTAATTAGGTTAAATGGTCTCGCTATAATTTGTCTTAGCTCTTTAAGTACTCAAGGGTGTATGTTATCTGGTCCTGGGGATTTATTCCCATTAAAGTAATATTAAACCTTTAAACTTTTTTTCAATAATGAATCCAGATCAAACAAATATACATTGCCCAGCAAAGCTCAGCTTTACATTTTTGGTCAAACAATTACAGTCATCATGTTTATGAACAGCTCCTTCCAACTCACTCAGCCTCCCTGAACTTCCTGTCCAGTACTAGATAACCAGGGACAATGCAGACTCCAGCAACTGTTCATCTACTAGCTTGGAGAAGATAGGAGAGGGGGCCAGGGGGGAGGGGAGTAGCTTGTTTTGCCATGTCTGTGTGTTTGTTGAGACACACACAGCTTGCTAGCACACACAAGGGTGACTGCATAGCACTCTGCTTGAGAAAGGAGGCGCTCTAAAACAGGAAGTCAGGAACAGTGCTCAGGGGACCAGCTGATTCTAAAGGAAACTAAAACTTTTAAACATCAAGGAGCAGCATTCATTGTAAGTGATTTAATCAGCATTTGAAATAGCTTAAAAACCTTTTGACTTTAATATCACTTTAGGTTTTTCTAGTCTATTTTGAACCCTGACTTGCGGTACATTCAGCACATTGCGATTCACATTCTTGTTTTATTTATTAAACCCGTCATTTTCATTAGCATGTACTGAGGAGAAGAATGTATTTAATACCTCTATCTTCTCCCTGTCATTTATGATGCTCATCCTTTATGGGGCCTACATGTTCTTTTCTTACCTATTTATTTTTTATATACTTGAAGAATTTTTGGGGGTTCTTATTACTAACTGTGGCAATATGTTTTTCGTATTTTATTTTAGCTGCCCGGATAGGACTTTTACATATCTAATTGCATTCCTTGTGGCTCTGCAATGCCAATGTTGTCCCTTCTGTCTTATATATTGTGTTTTGGGGTCTAACATGATCATTTCTGTCCATTTCCCTTTTCTCTTAGGTGTAACTGAGTGAAAAAAAACCCATAAATAGCATTTAAAGAAGTTACTAGTTTGTCAATGGACTTTCCACTCTTGAGTAAATGTCAACTCTGGTAGACATAACGCAGCTAATATCAAACCAGGTGGATTGTAAAGAAGTGTAAAGATCAGTGAGAATATGCAAACTGCAGTAGGTTATATCATTTAATCAGATTTCACTTTACTGCAGCGAGCTCGGTTATGAGTTCTTTTGCCATCTGATAGCTTTAGATGACTGCACTTTGGACTTTAAACATGGCAGGTTTTACATACCTAATCTAGTTGATTTACTAAAGTAGTTGGGGATTTTTTTAAACTTAAAATTAGGGATGCACCGATACCACTTTTGTAAGACCGAGTACCGATACTTTTTTTTCAAGTACTCGCCGATACCAATTACCGATACTTTTTCTAAAGGGACAGGTCACATTTTTTTCTAAAGCAATACAAAATAATGATTTTAGGTCAGTTTCTTAATATTATGAAGAAAAAAACATTGAATAATTAAATGAAATGAATATTTAGATCATGCTATTGCTAACTAAGCCTTGTATCCCCATAGTGGGGAAAATAGATGAGCACATGTCCAGACTCAAGAACACTGTATAGTGTGGCACAGCTATATCCAATTATGTATACCAGATTTTATATTATAAAGTTTTTTTATAATATAAAGCCAGGTATGCAGAATTGGATATAGCTGTGCCACACTATATAGTGTTCTGGTCTGGAATCTGGATATGTGCTCATCTATTTTCCCCACTATGGGGATACAAGCCTTAGTTAGCAACAGCAATGGTATGATCTACATCACTATTTCATTATTGAATGTCTTTTTTTAAATATTATATAAAGTTAAACAGAATTTACAGCAGGCATATATTATTTTTGTGCCACCATGTGCCCAGCCCCCATTGCTGCAGTGCTAACTTGCTGTGTCGTCTTCTCCGTCTGCTTCAGCCACTCCATGTCACAGCCTAGTCATCTGCTCCATGTTGACCTCTTCTCCCGCTGATTGGCCGATTGGATGATTGACAGGCTTCCTCACCAGTCAGGAGTGAGGACTTGGAGGCGGAGTTTACTTTCGGCTGTTCGCCCATGGAGGAGGCGTTAGCGGGCATGTTGTTTGATTGCAGACGCTATGGAGGTCCTGTGTGCGGCGGTTTCGTGTCCTTAAAGATGGCGGACACGGCACAGGTACTCGTTTTAGGTATCGGAGTATTTGCACGAGTACTCATGCAAATACTCGGTACCGCCGCCGATAGATAGCGTAGGAAAAGGTTAGAACATCGGTCAGGTATTTATTGCTCTCTGTGTACCTGCTGGGAAATTTACCCTTTCAATTTGTCCTGGTGAGCACTGTAACTTTGGCTGAAAAGAAAATATCCCCAATGGGACATAGACACAACAAAGAACTTGAAAAAGGTTTTTAACCAAATGTAAAAAAAAAAAATGTTGGCCCTTAGATAAAATTTAATTTTACAACTTAAAAATATATCCATATATAATGTATTATGTATGTGTAGCGCCAGAATAACCCGCGTCATCACTAACCTGTCTAGGGATTTTGGTAACCAGCTGCCCCATTAGCATTATCCGTCCTCTTCAGGTGACCAACAGAGTTTAAATCCAGGCCAGAAGTAGGAAGCTGAAGAACTTTATTAACATATTCACTCTGGGTTAGAGGGTATGGGGGGCGTAGGCTACACAGACAGACCCCAGACTCACCAGTCCCTTTCAGTAATTCAGTGTAAATCCATTTGCAGCACAGTTAAATAGGGATAGGTACAGAATCTTCAGTAGGAGAAACGCCAGACCTGCTCCTGAGGTCCTCTATATTCCAGGCACCTCCAGCAGCCATCAATTTCCATGGTTCTCCTCCTCAATAGGCAGCCAAGGCCTCCTCCAGTTTTGAGGCCTAGCAACGCTTTTCCCGCACTCAAGTATTCCTCCACCCCCAGGCCTAGCCTAGCCCAGCCCAGCCCAGGGGCAGGGTCGACAGCAGCCCATCCTGGACTAATCCATGCCTGGAACCCGACTGAGCACATGGTAATTCCTCTGAGTATATATGCCCTGTCCCAGCATGCAACACTGGCTGTGAGAGACCCAGTGATTGGCTGGTGAACTGCACACACACTCACAGTGTCCCTCATTGGCTGTCCCCCACTGCAGCAGAGTCACACTCCACTCAGGCAGGTACAATCAATGTCAGGGCACCTGGAATTAACCAGATAAAAGCCAACTATAATTCAGTCAGACTGACTACAATTCTGGCAATCACTAAATTTCTAGTAGCCACCTTACAAAGGGTAATGGGGGCTACATATGTATTATGTATCTATGAAAATCATGACCATGATAATTCAGTGCTATCATGTGCATATATTTCTAAAGTAACATATAGTGAAAAATGCCTTTTTTACTATATCTAGCTTCTGTTTTTGTTGCAGATGTTACTCATCCTTCGGAATCCAAAAGACACAGCTGTGTCTTATTACCCTTTTACAAACAATAATCCCGTGCTTCCTTCATATGAATCTTTCGACTTGTTCTTCAAGGATTATATAACTGGAAATGGTACTGACTGGATATCTTTAAAAATGCACCGTTAGAAAAAGTTAAATGGGGCACACTAAAAAAAACAAAAAAAAACTTTTCTTGTTACCTACTTGTATTCTTGACATATTTGACATATTTCTAAATGTACAACTGTATGATGCTCTGTAAACTAAATTTTTTTGGCAATATCTAGTTTATAATGCCATTAAGTCATAAAGGGGGATCAACTGAGAGGATATAGCATCATAAACTGCTTTCGGTAGAATGTAGAAACTACTGGTTTATTGCCAATTGGTTCAAGCGCTAAACCTACAGATAAAGAGGGGAAACCCTTTAACATAGAAGAAAGTGGGCTTGACTTACTAAAGGAATAGTCATGCTCACTATCAAAGTGAATTTTTATTTATCTCAGTGAATAAGGTGAAATAAAATGAATATTCACTTTGCAAAGAATAGTGAATCATGTACAGGGAATATTAAACAGAAAGGATTTTTGCTTGCACGTGAATGGATAAATGAAATCAATACAACTTCACTCTGGTTTCTAAGCTAAGGGAATCTCCTCATTGTAAAGTGAATTTTCACTTAGCTTTGGAAATTATATGAAGTTGTGCTATCACTCTATCATGTACCTTGCACATCATTTGGGTATTATTTGCAAAGTGATATTCTCCTTATTTCACCTTATTCACCAAAAAAAGTGAAAATTCTCGTTGAACGTGAGCATGCCCACTGTATTCTAAGGTATATCGAATTGCAAATGTTGTATATTGTCTTTATCCTAGTAATCTATGGATCGTACTTTGATTTTACTCTTCAATGGGAGAAACATATTGATGATGGAAATATCCTTGTACTAACATTTGAAGACATGAAAACAGTAAGTGTTTGCTTCTGTTGTTGGCCTTCTTATATGCTTTAAGTTTAGTACTGGATTACCAGATTTGTGTACAGCAGAAAGTACATCTATAGAAGATATCACAAGGACTTACAGATTCAATTAAGACATTATTCCACCAAAATGGTAACTTAAAGCGACATTAAACCCTCAGATTTTTTAACATAAACCAATACTGCAATGTGTGCCTCACTGTAATCCATGGTTGTTTCCCTTCTCTTTGCTGCTCTTCCTTTTAAATCCATATCTCTTCTCATGCTGGGCAGAACTTCTGTTTTGCAGCAGACTGCCTTGTCTCTGAAATGGATACATGGTGTCTGTGTGTAGGTTCACAACCTGAGCCAGCACTACAGGAAGAGGCACTCAGCTGAAAAGGGACGTTCTCCCCAAGCATGAGAAGACATGAGGATTTAAAAGGAAGAGCAGCAAAGAGAAGGGAAACTACCATGGATTACAGTAAGGCACACATTACAGTATTGGTTTATGTTAAACAATCTGAGGGTTTAATGTCACTTTAAGTTTCTGATTCGTTTTTGTTGTTCACCTGGTGCAATGATACCACCAACAGCCCATATCTATTTTTAAAATAGAGGTTCTCGACCATCATTGAGGACCATGTCCCTAAGAAGTACTCCAAATGGTTCCGCCAAAAGTGACAACAAGAGAGGATTGGGCTGGTGGTCTTGAATGGAGAAACTCTCCCATTCAAACCTCAATCAGAGAGGGACCCACAGACAGTGACAGCTGCTGAACTATACAGTATTTATTTATTTACTCTCAGTACAGACCTGCAATCTTGCAGCATTCACTTGCTTATTATATAGATGTTATTGTCTAAAATAAAACTCACCCTTCACCATGATCACCAACCACTGTACTACCACGCTGCTTTTTGTGTGGTGCATTTTCCTAATCCCACAGGATGCAAACCATCCTGCCATAAAAAGTATAGTTGGTTATGTTTCCCTCCCTCCCTCTATACAATTAAAGAATATTGTAGTGCCTTTATAAACAATTTTCGCCTTCTCCAAGTTAAAATTCTTTGCAACATGTACAGGTAACTTTGTAACATGCAGTTTTTCTTGATTTGCAGACTATTAACCTGTGTAAATAACATAATAATGTATTCTAAAGAATTAGATGAAGAACACTCATTCTCCTACTATTAGGATGTTCGTATATGGCAATAATGGATGAGGTCCTGCCTAAACATAAATTAATGTACGAGGCCAGGATGTACCTGCATAAATTCAATGAGATATGGGGACCCTGACTGAGTACCAATGCCTCTGATGCTTAACTTTAACTGTCATGCTTGATGGGTATTTATCTGTGTGCTTTTTGGCCATTTTGTATCACCTTGTGTCTGATTTGTTGTTTACAGATGGGGGAGGAGGGACTGCGAATAAGAATATCGCATGTATGAGTATCTGTCCTTGTTTATGTTAGCAACCTGTTGCATATGTTAAAGTTTTTTTGTATTGTAATATGATCATGCAAAATTACAAAATACCTAAAAATAAATAAATAAGGCTGAAACAATATGCAGATCAACTTTCACTGTGACATGCTAATGTGAATGCTCCTCCCTGGTCAGTAAGCTAAACTATTGAAGCCTAAGACACCCATTGAAGTACTACTGTTAGATATAGGTTAGCAATGGCAGACCCCATATTTTTCATAGGCATCCTTCAATACAAGCAACCTTGGAAGGTGAAAGAGATAGTTAGACAGAGACATCTGGAAAGGTGTATGGAAAAGAAAACTTTACATACATTCATTAGCTTTTTGTCCTCTGTAAAATGTCAGCTACCAGCTGAAGTGTCAGCCTCCCACATTTTGGTAGGGCTGCAACAACTAATCAATTAAATCGATAATAATCGATTGTGAGAATAGTTGGCAACTATCGAAAAATTAATCGAAAATAATAATCGGGCAACTAATCGATTATAAAAATAATCATTAGCTGCAGCCCTACATTTTGGTCTTAATTGTATGGAAATGTTCCTGCCCTGTAGACTTTTCTGTCTTTAGGTTCTCACCATAATGGCATCTGCCAGCTGGAGTGTTGGCAAAGGACAGTTTGACACCTATGATGTGTAAATCTGCAAGCCTACACATTAGAGGTCTCAAACGGTTCTGCCCCTACCCCACCCCACCCCAACCCCATACACTCACACCTTATTGTCCCCTTCTTCTGCCTACTTTGTCCACTGGCAGTGTCCTTACCTCATTGCCTGACTTGTTTACTCATGAAGGCCTACCACCATTGTGAACAAGATCAAGCTGTGTGTTCGCCTTCCCCCATGTGAATTGGTTGATTATGTTCTACATTATCTTCTTCCCAGGAATACATTCAGAAGAAGTGACATCATTTTGTTCTTAATAATATAGCGATATGTTGTTGCCACTGATTAAAAATCATTAGAGCAGTAATTGATCTTTTCCATCTAAAGGACCTTTCAAATGAGCTGAGAAAAATAAGTGACTTCTATGGCTTAGCTCTGACGGATGAGCAAATCAAAGTGGTACAGGAAAAAACGACCTTTTCATCTATGAAGGAGAATTCCAGTAACACACATTGGCATCTTGGGAATGTTTTCTTCCAAAAGGGTAAGTTATTAAAACCGATTTATTCTGTGTTGTACAAATAACAGATTTAAATCAAACACGTTGGGGCTAATTTATAAGCGTTCCTCCAACATATATAATATATTGAATTATGTGTAGACAATGTTCTTCTGTGCTCATTAGAAATAGTCAGTATGGTGAGAGCTTGTTTTCAACAACTATTTTAAAAGTAAAATATTGGCTCTACCTTTTAGCAGAACATTGGCTTTGTTAATAGGGATTATATTAGTAATGTTAGTGGTTCGCCACCACCATGGTTTTAAGGAAAATACTGCAGGTTTGAGCTTTGGAGTCCCAGCGGCCTTATGTGCAGATTATGTGCAGATCCACCCGGCACTTTTAAAACAAAATGCACTGGCAAGGCTTTTGAACTATAGCCAGCAGGCTTGAAAGGACCAATAAGCGTGCTTTTCATTAAGTCAAAACCCTTCACTGTAAATGGGTAGGGCACAGGGCAGCAGTAGTGTCAGTGAGCTGGAAACTGTTGTAGAGAAAGCTCACAAACTGCATAGGGAGGTTTTTTTTGTGTGGTTGATTTGAAGTTAGCTGTCACTTTTAGCTGTTCTCTCACTCATTGCAGTTTTTTTTCCTCTGCAGGGTTTTCCATTTAAAAATGGTCTCATGTTTCACATGGTTACAGTTTGGGTTTTTCATTCATTGTGGGATATATTTTATGGCTTTTGTTTTATGTCTATAGGCCCTTTACTTTAGGATGAACTGTTTATTACTGACCATTTGTCTTGTAGATGCTTTCTGTTTGCAGCATGCCGCTGCATCATTTTAAAGAAAAATAAATGCAAGAACAGAGTGCACCTGCACTAGCTCACATTATATCACTATTATTCACTGTACCCTCCTTTGCCATAGATAAAATAAAACTTAAGGTGCCCATACACTGTGCGATTATCGCAAGATAATCGCGGGAAATCCCGCGATCGTACGATAATCGCAAAGTGTATGGAAGGCGTGCGACCGTTTTTACTGTACGGTCGCATGTCTTTTGTCTAAGGAGCATGCTAGAAAACCAGCTGAGAATCGTACGATTTTCGGCTGGTTTTTAGCATGATCGGAAGATCAATGCCGCACGGGCCGGTCTGCGCACGCGCACTGCATTCTGGTGCTCTGCATTATTGTGCTCTGCGTTAGTATTGTGCTCTGCGCTGGGGAAAGAGAAGTGGGCCCAGAAGCGGCTCTTTAATTAACAAAGCAGCACTGAAGAATGAGGCTATTTGAAGCCTCACATCTGCGGTGGATCAGGAGCGGTGCCACCGTGAGAAAAGGAGAGCCCAGAAATATGGTGTGGGTGTGTGTGGATGAAGATCTTCCCCCAGGAAGGGGGGGGGGCAACTCTGAGTCTTTACCCCGGGTGACGGAATGTCTAGCTTCGCCACTGCCGTCACCGTCCCTCCCTCCACCCCCCCAGCTCTCCTTTCACCCACTTCCAGCCCACGTTGCGTAGCGTGGGGGGCCGGAGGGGTGCTGTGGGGGCCCAGTGAGATTCGGTCCTGGCACCCCCCCACATTGGAGGTGGCATGGCTCTTTCCACACAGACCTCATAGCAGCCAACCCAGACTGCCTGTAAAAAGCACAGCTGACATTACACAGCATTCCACCAGCCAGCACAGATCTCCACTACCCGCACATCACCCCAGCTGATCCTCCTCATCTTCCCCTCTGATACTCGGCATCTACCCTGCTGATCGTCCGCATCTATCCTGCTGATCCTCCACATCTGCCCCCACTGATCCTCTGCATCTGCCCTGCTTATCTCCGCATCTGCTCCTCTGATCCTCCACATTTGCGCCTGCTTATGCTTCACATCTGCTCCGTGAGACCCTCTGCATCTGCCCCTACTTAGACCGTTTGCATCTGCCCCTGCTGAGACTCTCCATCTGAGAAATCACGCCGGCACACGGAGCAGAGCAGCAGCACAGAGTACGTAGCAAATTCATATACTGCTGTATAATGTATTGCTGGGATTTGTAGTCCTCTATGGCTGGTGGTAATTGGCAGAATTGAAGAATTTTGGTCAAATCATCCAAACCAGAAAAATTCTGCCAATTAGCTCATTTTCCAAATAGGCTTTATTGGTATAGACCTGCTATTTTGGAAATAATGAGAAGTAATTTCTGTAACACAAGAATTTATATGTCAGTGGGCCTTGTGGATGAGTGGGGATTGTGGGTGGATGTGGCCTGTATATGGGCAGAGCAAAAGGGGCCCCATAATCTCATATTGTCCGGGGGCCCCTTGTGATGTCAGTCTGCCCCTGATACTGACCCTACTGATTGAAACTACTAAAATCCTATACTTGAAAGGGGTGAACCAGAAACAGTAAGGTTGGGAAACAATGTGCTAGATGATGCTGGATGTCCTTCAGAATTGAAGTACAGTACTGTGGTACAGTGCTGAAATTGCTTTTTAAGCTATTTCAGTACAATAGAGGAGCCTGTACAACTGTGCATAACTGAAGGTAAGGCTGAAGTTCAGCATTAATGTGTTTTTATCTGGTACATTAGATCTCTCTTTCAAGTTTTATGTTTTTATATGTTTGTATTAAATAAAGGCCAAATTAAAGAATTGGGTTTGATTTTTCTTGTGCAATTCTATATAAAGGTGTTTTGTAGGTCAAAGCTTGAATCTACAAATAACCAACTTTCATAAAAATATAAAGAAAGCCAGCACTGTGAGTCATGAAACATGTGCACATGTATACATCATCACTGCACCTCTTCATCACCACAATAAAAGCTACTCACTGACAAAGGTGGAAATTAGCTTTATGCCAAGTAATAATGTAAAATGAAAAAAACAAAGCATGCTGTCAGTCACAATCGTGCTGTTCCATTACACCGCATACAGTTTAATGACATCTCCTAAGCATGCAACGGAAAGGATTTGGTCTTTTTCCCATGTCACCCTGTAAGCTGCATAAAAATGAGGACCCTCCACCGGCTGAATGTTATTGTTTAAAATGTATATTGGCATTAGTAATGGCAATGTCCAGCTCCTTATGTCATTTTTCCCCAACTTCTTTTCTATTAGCCTTGGAAATGGACATAATTGATTTTAAATATTCCCCCCTCATAGACTTTGGTGGGGTTTGGATTTAAAGAAGGCAGGCAGAAATGTTATTAACCCTTGAAGTGGGGCTACCCCCACACTGGAGGGGTTAACTGCTCGTTTTTGCCCAGGGTAAAAGAAAAAGTTATATTTATCCGATCCTCAGAGTCGGCAGCACACACTCCAGCCTTTCTCCTCCTCCACTGCAGCAATGGTATATACACTGTATTGAATGTGATGACTCGAGGATTCCTAGACCGTTGCAGAGGATGGGGAAAGACACTCCAGGAACCAGTCTAAGAGCCAGCCAGCTTGGAGGTAGTATCTTCAGGAAACCTGAAAGAGGTGATATAGTAAGTGATTTTTGGTATGTATATGTGTATCTGTGTAATTTATTCTGGCCATACTAATTTGTAATCTTTATGTTTTTAACACAATACTGCAGATAAACTTACCAAATACCACATTCACATTTCCAATGAAGCAAATCAGCCGATCTGAGAAATACGTAGAGTGTTCTTCTTATTCCATCATCTAAATCAGCATAACACATTAGCCCTGCAATTCAAATATGTTGAATGCTTATGAGCTGGGTATTAAGGGGAGTTTATGTGGTAGCAGCTCATGTCATAAATGACTGTAATATCTTGTGAACCCAATCCAAGCCCATTTTTAACTGTATTCTTAAAGTCATTTTTAATAAAGATTTTTTATCCTTATCCTGCATCTTATGCATAATAGTTTTGTAACTTTACGTGTTTGTTATATAAGATATCTAGCATTAACTTTTATGCATCGGAGAAAGTTATCCTAATGTTACATTATCTTTACCCTTGGGAGATACAGTAAGTCACATACTGAGTTGTGTTTACTATTTGCTGTGGTTGATATTGTTATGGACGTTCACTAGAATCTGTCTCACTGATTGTCTAAGTTTCTAAAATATATGAGCCATTTTTTATATTTACTAAGGTGATAGTACAGATATAACATCTAGTATCCTACAGAGGTATGATGAGGCATTTATAGTCTATAAATAATATAGATTATTATACTGAAGAATAAATGATATTCTGACTCCGATTGTTGTATTAGCAATTTGTCCCTTGCTGAGACCTCTATGCCTGGCCTGTATAACCAGATATAATCAGTGCGGACAATCCTTATCAGATAGCTGAGCTCACCAAATACCTTTTCATCCACGACTGCTTTATTGCTTGCAGCAGGTTAGTTACAGCAGACAACAGGATACAGCAGATGAATGAACAGATGGTATTTGAAGGTCGGAGATAGTAATGTTTCCAAGCATGTAATGCAGATTAACATGTGGTCATGTTACTGTCAGCCATGACACTTGACACGACTGGTCTCATGAAGAAAGGGGAAATACATCATAGATGGGAGGGATGGGAGGGAACACAGAAAAACATGGTGCAATAACCCAAAACGACCACAAAATGTCAGTATAATAATTAGCTACAGTATACCAATGAGCAAATGGCATAAGGAAAATAATAAACTATATGAATTCTCATTTAACATTAATATGAATGCTAACTATGTCTATGGGTTGTGTCATTTTTATACAACTATTGTGACAGCACAATAGGGGACTTATTTTTTACATATACTATAGCATATTGCACTGATATCTATTTCAGTAGGATGTTTTTCTGGTGGACATTCATGGGAGGAGGTATAATCTTCTGGTTGATTACCTTTCTTGGTAACATTCAATCTTCTTATCATCGATTTACTGCAAATAGTTGTACTGTGTATTCTTAAGTTCGTTGCATTTGTGTCTGTTGGTTTAGCAGCAGACATGGTGTTTTTATCATTTTATTAGGGGTATTATTAATGAATTTATATTGAAGTGACATTAAACCTTCAGATTTTTTAACATAAACCAATACTGTAATGTGTGCCTTACTGTAATCCATGGTTGTTTCCCTTCTCTTTG